GGGAAGCCGGGTGAGAGAGAGAGACGGCCACGCCAGGCCTGAGCCAGCTGGGCGGAAGGAGGCCTCTCTGTCGGCGGATGGTCCAGCAGTCTCCGGAGCAAAAGTGTGGAGGAATCTGCTGCTTCGCTCATACCTCACGCAATCCTCGTGTGAAGAAACAGGAGCACTCCGTCTTTCTGTGTTGTGTCAGTCACAGCGCCTGGCGAAACGTCAGGTCCTACGGTGCTGAGACCCACGGCCAGACAACCCGGAAAATCTACAACAGCTAACAAACAGGAGACCGTTTCTTTGTTTATTTAGCTGAAGCATTTCTGTCCCGACTTACTTCCTTGGACTCCAGGCAGCGCTTGGTGCAACAACCTAGTCCTGGGGACGGGAATCACCACAGGCCAACGGAGTGTGTGTAAAGGGCCATCGAGTCGCGGGCTGATTTCTGACCCCGTGGGGGGTTTCAAGGAGAGTGATCCAGCAGAGGGGGCTGTCCCTGGCCTTCCCCTGCAGAGCCTTCCTTGGTGGGCTCCCTCCCAAGTACCGACCCTGCTTGGCTTCCCAGATCAGATGAGAGCAGCCCAGACCAGTGTTCCCTCCAAGCTGAGTTAGTGTGAGCCAGCTCACGGTTTTTTAGCCTCCGGCTCACACATTTTTGTCTTGGCTCAGGAAGGGATGGCTCCAGAGCAGACTAATGCATGCAGCGGCCAAATCACTCGCTCACCACTTGAATGCCAGTCGCTCACAAAGTAGGATTCTTGCTCACAAGACTCTCCACAGCTTAGAGAGAGCATTGGCCCAGACCACCCTATTCCACACCCAGCGGTCCAGTTAACAAGACCAAAATAAACATGGTTACAAATCTAACAGCACTCAGGCTTTTAAACACCCCGTACTTGGAACAGAGTGGATCGTGAAACATGCCAGAGGGGAATGAGCCCTGCTAAGCCCATTCACCCTTCACCCGATGCCCCCTGGAAGAAGACCGCCTTCCGAAGCGTGGCAAGGGAAGGCGCCCTCCTCCCCCGCCCTAGAAGGCCCTGCCAAAGGACAAGGCCGGGGCCCTCGCTGGGGCCAGGCAGCGCATCTGAAGGGAGGGCCCCTCCCGGAGGAGGGCGCTGGGTGTCCGTGGCACGGCGGGGTGTACAGGGAGCACGCCTCAGTATGGATGAGTGGGCCCCAGGCTGGGATGGGCATTCAAGGGGAGAACCCGCACTTTGCATCAACAAGCGGTTCCTTCCAACTTATGGCGACCCGAGGAATGACCTTAGGACCCCCAGAACATCCTCTGGTTCACAGCCTTGCCCAGGTCTTGCCAACGGAGGGACCCTCTGTGGCTTCCACGACTGAGTCCACCCGTCTCACGTTGCGTCTTCCTCTTCTCCTGCTGCCTCCCGCTTTCCCTAGCATGGCTGTCTCTTCCCGTGAGTCTGACCTTCTCCTGATGCAGCCAAAGTGCAGGAGCCTCGGTCTAGTCATTTCAGCTTCTAGGGAGAGTTCCGGCTTGATTTGATCTAAAACCCACTGATATGTCTTTTGGGCGGTCCGCACAGTATCTGCAAAAACCTCCTCCAGCACCACATCTCAAAGGAATCCTCTTTCTCCCTGTTAGCTTTCTTCACTGTCCAACTTTCACGCCCGTACATAGTAACGGGGAGTAAAAAGTAAAGGTAAAGGTTTCCCTTGCTCGAAAGCCAGTCGAGTCCGACTCTAGGGTTGCGGTGCTCATCTCCGTTTCAAAGCCGAAGAGCCAGCGCTGTCCGAAGATGTTTCCGTGGTCATGTGGCCGGCATGACTAACCACCAAGGCGCACGGAACGCTGTTACCTTCCCACCGAAGTGGTCCCTATTTATCTACTTGCAATTTCTTTCTTTCGAACTGCTAGGTTGGCAGGAGCTGGAACTAGAGACGGGAGCTCACTCAGTCATGCGGCACCCGGGTCTCCAGGCCACAAATTAACTTGCTCTTGGTCTCCACCAGCGACACGTCCTGACTCTTAAGGATCTTCTCCAGCTCCTTCGTGGCTGCCTGTCCCGGTCTCAGTCTCCTTCCGATTCCTTGGCTGCAGCCTCCCTTTTGGTCGATGGCGGAGCCGAGGAACAGAAAACCTTGAACAATTTCAATTTCTTCACTGTCAATGTTGAGGTGACGTAATTCCCCGGCAGTCGTTACTTTTGTCTTCCTGGTGTTCGGCTGCAGTCCTGCTGTGGCACTTTCTGCTTTAGCCTTCGCCAGGCTTCGTTTCAAGCCCTCCTCACTATGTTCTGCCAGTGATGCGGTGGTGCCACCTGCGCGTCTCAGACTGTGAATGTTCCTCCCACCAGTTTTCACTCCACCTTTATCTACGTTTTAATCCAGCTCTCCTTCTGATACGTTCCGCATACAAATGGAAGAGACAGGGAGATGAAATAAACCCTTGCCTGACCCCTTTGCCAACTGGAAACCAATCCTGTTTCTCCGATTCTGTTTCTGTAATTACTAACAGTGGCCTCTTGTCCGAAGTACAGGTTGTGCATCAAAACCATCAGACACTGTGGCGCTTGCTGAGAGCAACAAGAACAGCTAATGACACGGGTATGGCCGCAGTGTGCTCTTTACCATCTAACACTGCCTCGGAGAGGCTGCCGCCATCTATATGCGACAGCACTTTATTTATAAATCTGATTGTTTGTCTGAATTTTACACTATTGCATTGTTTAATGCATCTATGTTTTATTGTATTTCTTCTGTGGTATTTTAACTTGTTGTAATCCACCCTGAGCCTGCCCATGCGGGGAGGGCAGAATATAAATCGAAATAAGGAAGGAAGGAAGGAAGGAAGGAAGGAAGGAAGGAAGGAAGGAAGGAAGGAAGGAAAAGCAACCGTCGCGTCTTATGATCCACACAGTCAAAAGCTTTACTGTAATCTATGAAGCACAAGGGGATCCCCATCCCACCCCGAAATTCTCTCATATCCTCTCAGATCTGCAACCTGATCTCCGGTGTTTCTTCCTTTTCTGAATCCATCTAGCATTTCTCCTCCCATATATGGTCACAGCATTTGTTGTAAGATTTTGAGCATCCCCTTACTTGCGTGAGAAATCGATGCAGGATTTTGCCAGGCCAGAGGGGTGAGGCTGCAGCACGCAGAGAAGCCCAGGCATTCGGCTGGTGTCCGTTAGGGGAACCGACTGGAAGCCATCCAGGGATCTCTGACCGGAGGGTGCTACTGGCACCACGAGCACAAGATCTATTCCCCCAAATGGCCTCTACATTGGATCGGGTCAGAGAGTTGTTATTGGCAAAGAACTGGGCAAAATGGTCACACCCCTTTTCCAACTCAGAGTCAGAAGTATGCGGTCCAGAAGGTATTAAGCCCTGAACCACCTTAAATAGTTTTTTCTGGACAAGGCCCAGACAACGCCATGGAGCAGAAGAGAAAGCCTTCTTTGCCGCCCTCTCTGCCCTGAAAGGCGCTCAGTAGTAGCCTGTTCTGTTTGATTTGACGTGGAGTGAGCTCTTCTCTTCCCCAAAGGCGCTCTGCCCATCTCCCAGGTAAACAAAGGGCTAAAGCCCACCTTTGGGGGTGCTGAGGGCCGGACCGTCTTGGTCAATGGCACACTGCAAATCAGCATTCCAGGCAGATCTCAGGGCCTATGCAGAGTCCCAAGTCTAGCCTCTCGGAAGTCCTTAAATCCACCTGGAAACCCACTGGATCCATCGGCCTCTGGCATCAGACAATCCTGACAGGTCTTCTGCCCTAGCAGAGGGCGCTAGGCACGGTAGCCTTTGCCCTCCGCAAGTCAGGGTCTGACCATGGCCCAGGCTGCAGGTGTGGAAAAGAAGACCCAACGTATCAGGTGTCGGGTCCAGCGTCACACGGGGCAGCCCGTGGTTGCCCTGACTGGTTGGCAACCAGCCCAGAGGGAGGAGGTTGACGTCTACCAGCACCATCAGACCTGCGCTCTGCAACACCACCCCCTCCTTGGCCAGCTCCATCACCAGCTATTGCAGGAACATGTTGCAATTCAGTCCAATGTAAAAGGGTGGGCACATAGGTCTGGTGCGTGGGGGGGAAACAAACCTCAAGCGTGGGGTTCTGCTCTGCGGGTGAGAGGAGGAGGCCTCTGCCTGGGCCTGGGACCTCAGAGAGGAGCGACACCCCCAGAAACGCTTGCACGGGCAGGCCAGCGGAGTATAGGAAGGCAGTGAGCCCGTTTTGCGGCTTCAAAAACAAACAGGGACATTCCCAGGAGACAGTTTCCAGGATTTGCCAGGGTAGCGCAGAGGGTCAGGGCTTGAGGAGTGACAGGGGTGCGTCCCTATCAGCTAATCCCGGCGTTCCTCAGGGAAGGCAGGCGGGAACCTCCCAGGGCCCTACCCAGAAAGTCAACATCCTTGGGGGGGAGGTTAGCTGTGCCTGGCGTTTCAGCACAAAAGCGCACCTGGCGTCAGTCACGATGCCTTCGTGAGCGACTCTGCCGCCTGCAGGCTGAGACCAAGGTCTGGGCAGGCCCCCACTGTGCAAGGGCAGTGCCCCTCCCTCCCCCATCTCCCCGGAGGAGTTGGTGGCGGTGGTGGTTGCAGCAGCCCCTTTCCTTGCCAGTCCTTCAGGTTCAGGTTCTGTCCTCGCTGTCCCACTCCAAAGCACCCACCTTCGACATGGTGGCCCTCGGGGTCCACTACTTCGGCAGGCCCGTTGCTGCTTGCCCGGCTGGAATCCTCTCCAGGAGTAGCTGTGCAGGGACTTTGGGAGCGGAGGCAACTGAGGGTTTGAGCTGACAGCGCTCGCTGTTGGCCATGAGGCCGCCGCATGCTCTAAATAGTGCGGCTCTTAATCACGCTCCCCGTCATGGTCCACCCGCTCTGCCGGAGAGGCATTCCTGGGCAGGTGCGTTGAGACGCCCGCTCGCAAAGTGCCCTCTGATTTGGCCGCTGACTAACACACTTCCTGCATCTGCCGGACTTGTTACAGATTAACATCCGTGCGGTGCTTGCCCGGAGGGCCCAGAGTCTAATTGTGGGCCTGGATGACGGGGCGGGAGGAGCAGGCTCCGGAGGCAGTGCCAGGTGGGCGGAGGCGAGGCCTGCCTTCGACCTCGGAGGGAGAGCGGCTGGCTGCCAACCCTCCGCCTCGGACGGCCAGAGCGGAGAAGGAGCGAACCGACGGGGAGGAACGCCCTCTGATGAAACAGTCCAAAAAAGCCCGTTCCTTTCCGTAAAGCTTGCTTGCGCTTCTGAGCTAGAGAGGCCCCGACATAAATCCACCACTGACTAAGAAGCCAGAGGAATGTGGGGATGAAAAAGCAGGTTCCTGACGCCTTCCCCCACACCTGCCCTTTCCGCCCCAGGGACCGAATGAGCACACTCCAGCGGGGGTGTCTCACCCCCCACGCTCAGCACCGCATCCGCGTGACTTTGAGATCTCTCTCCTGTTTGGGGTCAAGTGATTGCTTAATTGCCGTTCCTGAGCATGTTAGGAAGGCCTCACACACACACACACACACCCCGCCCCGTAGGCCTACCCTGGTCCTGTCCGTCAGATCTACTCCAGGAGAGGGGTCCCCAACCTTGTTGGTCCTGCGGGCACCTTTGGAATTCGGACACAGGGAGGACGGTGCAGCCACAAAATGGCTGCCCAGGGAGGCAGCGCCAACCACAGCATGTCGGAGAGCCAGGTCCGCCAGAACCCGCCCGGTCACTTTCCAGCATCGCAGGCACGGGGGTGGGGGTGGGGGTGGGGAGTGCCGTCCAGTCGCAGCGGTTTCCGAGGCCAGAGGCGTTCAGGGGGGATCTGCCATTGCCTGGCTCTGTGCAGCAACCCTGGACTTCCTTGGTGGTCTCCCATCCAAGGACTGATCGGAGCCAACCCAGCAGAGCAGCCGAGACCTGTCGAGATCCGGCTAGCCTGGAGCACATTTCAGGCATGAATTCTGCTGAACTGGAAGAAGAAGAAGAAGAAGAAGAAGAAGAAGAAGAAGAAGAAGAAGAAGAAGAAGAAGAAGAAGAAGAAGAAGAAGAAGAAGAAGAAGAAGAAGAAGAGGAGGAGAGTGGAATTATACCCCACCCTTCACTTGGAGTCTCAAAGCGGCTGACAAACTCCTTTCCCTTCCCCTCCCCACAACAGACACCCTGGGAGGTAGGCGGGGCTGAGAGAGCTCTTGACAGAAACGGCTCTTTTTCAAGGACAGCTCTGAGAGAACTGTGGCTTGCCCAAGGCCATCCAGCCAGGTGCAAGTGGAGGAGGAGTGGGGAATCAAGCCCGCGCACTTAACCACTACGCCAAACCGGCTTTTAAGCTGCAGAGCCAGTGAGATCTCCGGTGGCCAATCAGAAGCCCTGCTGGGCAAAAGCCCGACCTGGCCCCGCCCACTTTTGAAGGACGCTTGGGAAGGTGCGGCTGGGCAGCGTTGGGCCTGGGGGTGTGTGTGGATGCCTGTCGGGGACCCCTGCTCCAGGACGTCTGTGCTCGTAGCTTGATTTCTAGCTGCTTGGGGTGCCCCGCTTTGGACTGCGAACTGGCCCTGGGGACCACTTTCCCGACGGAAACGGAGAAGGCGAAGGCGGCAGAATCAAGTCTGCCCTGTGTACAAGGGACGGGGCACTCACACTGAGCTCCGGCATGGGCAAGGCAAGCCCACCTGCACGAGGCGGAGGGGCACCGAAAACGACGTCGTGGCTAAAATCAACGTCATGGTGGTGGTGGTGGTGTTACTCTTGCTGGTTACACATTTGCATTTTTACCAAAATAACTGCTGTGGAAGTTTAGCGGGTGAGATTTTATGTTCTTGCCTCGGGTGCGGAATTAGCTAGTTAGCTAGTTGTGGCTCACAGCCCAGTTCTGGGTGGTGGTGGGGGAGATGAAAGTGCTCAGGCAGCCGACTAAGCGTCATGCCAGCGAAGTCATGTCAGTGAATCCTGGGATTACACGGATGGATGGACACCACCCCAAATAATTTGGCTGAAGGGTTGGAGGCCACGGTTGGATGCTTGAAGCAGGGCCGGCTCAGACTGAATCTGTTCAAGATGGAGGTTCTGTGGCTGGTGTGTGTGTATGTCCAGGACTGGGGCGCCAACTCCCATCCATCTAGACAGTGTGCCACTAACACCAGCAACCACCATTAAGAGAACATAAGAGAGGAGCCCATGTTGGATATCAGGCCAGTGGCCCCTCCAGTCCTACACTGTGTGTCACACAGTGGCCAAAAACACCAGGGGCCACCAGAAGGTCCAGCAGTGGGGCCAGGTCACTAGGAGCCCTCCCACTGTTGCCCCCCCCCCCAAGCACCAAGAATACAGAGCATCCCTTGCCCCAGACATAACAACATAAGAGAAGCCCATGTTGGGTCAGGCCAATGGCCCATCCAGTCCAACACTCTGTCTGTCACACAGTGGCCAAAAATACCAGGTGCCATCAGGAGGTCCAGCAGTGGGGCCAGGATACAAGAAGCCCTCCCACTGTTGCCCCCACCCCCCCAAGCACCAAGAAGGCAGAGCATCCCTTGCCCCAGGCAAAAGAACATAAGAGAAGCCCATGTTGGGTCAGGCCAATGGCCCATCCAGTCCAACACTCTGTGTCACACGGTGGCCAGAAATATCAGGTGCCCTCAGGAGGTCCAGCAGTGGGGCCAGGACACTAGGAGCCCCCCCACTGTTGCCCCAGACCAAGAGTTCCACTGATGGACCTCTCCTCCATATAAGAACATAAGAGAAGCCCATGTTGGGTCAGGCCAATGGCCCATCCAGTCTAGGGTTGCCAAGTCAAAATGTCTTACCGGCGGGGGAGCCTCGCCGGGCTCTGTGAGCCGTTCTTCAATGTGACGCGCGACGTCGATCAGGTTGAAGGTGTGGCCCCGATCATTAGAGGGAAAACCATAGAGTTTTCCCTCCGACAATTGGGGCCACGCCCCCAACGTGATTGACGTGGTTGCGTCACCTCTGGTGAAGCAGCCACGCTGTGCTTTGGGGGGGGCGGAGTTCCCCCCGGGCCTGATTCCGCAGCGGCGGAAATCGGGCCTCCAAAGCGGGGGTTTACCCGCCACCCGCCCCCACTTGGGAGCCCTAATCCAGCCCAACACTCTGTGTCACACAGTGGCCAAAAATACCAGGTGCCATCAGGAGGTCCAGCAGTGGGGCCAGGACACCAGAAGACCTCCCACTGTTGCCCCCCCCCCAAAGCACCAAGAGTCTGGGTGTCTTTCTGGATGCCTCTCTATCAATGGGGGCCCAGATCACAAATGTTTTTTATTATCAGCAACTGGCCCCCTTTCTGTCTCACCCTGACCTAGCCACAGTAATCCATGCAACGATCACCTCTAGGTTAGACTACTGTAACTCGCTCTATGCAGGGCTACTCTTGAGACTGATCCAGAAATTGCAACTGGTCCAGAATGCGGCGGCTTGGGCTCTCACCAGAACCCCACAAACAGCACATGTCCAGCCCATGCTTCGCCAGCTGCACTGGCTCCAAGTTGAATACCGGATAAGGTTCAAGGTTCAAGATTCTGAAAACGCAGGGTAAGAAGGAGAAAAGTTCGGGTTTGCACCTGGTAAGGAAAAATCTACAGCGAAATATGTCACATGATGCACAGTTTGTAGAACGTCAATGCGGGGAATTTCACTACTGCAGAAATGGTCTCAGAGACCCCCGTGCAATGGGAAAGGCAAAGCTCCCCTCCTCCAGTCAAGGTACCGCCCACAAGCCCTGGTATAGCTCAGGAGGCTGACTGTGGGCACCGCCAATCATACCTGCGCACTCAGGCGCTGGGCACTTCCCTCTGTGTGTGTGCCCCCACATCCCCTGGGAACTGACCAGCAGTGCTTCCATAGCTGTGCTGCGGCCAGTGGGCTCTCTGGACGGGGCCGCCAATCACCCTCTGTTCTGTCAGCAGCTGGGAACTCACGTGTCTCCTCTGGGGCTGACTGACCCACTGTGCATGGCAAACTGCCCGCAACACTGAAGTCAACAAGCAATCCCACTTGCCAGGACAGGGGCTTCCACAAGACACCATTCTCTGGGAAGATCTTCAGCAGAAGACCCAAAGAGTGATTAACACGTGGAATCCACTGCCACAGGAGGTGGTGGCGGCTGCAAGCATGGACAGCTTCAAGAGGGAACTGGGATAAACGTATGGAGCGAGGTCCATCAGTGGCTGTTAGCCACAAGGTAGAGATAGGATCTCTCAGTCTGTGGCGAGTGATGCTCTGTATTCTTGGTGCTTGGGGGGGGGAATGGTGGGAGGGCTTCTAGTGTCCTCTGGCCCCACTGCTGGACCTCCTGATGACACCTGGTATTTTGGGCCACTGTGTGACACAGAGTGTTGGACTGGATGGCTGTCATGTAGAAGATGGAGCGGATCTCTTCTCTCTTGCTCCAGATTGCAAGACTAGATCTAATGGGTGGAAATTACAAGGGAGTCATTACCGGCTAAATATCAGGAGAAACTTCCTAATGGTAAGAGTGGTTGAGCAGTGGAACAGTTTGCATTGTGAGGTGGTGGGTGCTCCTTCGCTGGACGTTTTCAAGCGGAGGCTGGACAACCATCTTTCGGGTATGTTGTAGGGCTATTATCTTTCGGCTCTGCTCCTGCAGAGTGCAGGGGGTTGGACTAGATGACCTGCAAGGTCCCTTCCGACTCTAACATTCTATGATTCTATGAATTCATGGTCACGGCGGCCTACAGAATGCAACTCTCGGAGCCACTGCAGGGATTGCCTCTCCTGCACCTATCCAGCTTTACAATGAGGGAACCAGCCTTAGAGTGACACGGAAGTCTTCTTC